TTTAGAAATTACAGATAAGCAAGAAGAAAATAAAAACCACCTATAATTTCACCACCCAGAGAAAAATGACATTAACATGTTAGTATATATTATTTTCTATTTGTGTATATATCCACATATACAGATATATGCATATATGTTTATATGTGTATATATGTATGTATATGTATGATAAAGACTATATCACACACAAGTATTTATAACTTGATTTTTCTTATGACAACATATCCTGAAAGTCATTCTATATCATCAGTTTTCCACACCACCAGCTATGATGGCTGAATAGCACTTCACTTATTGTATGTACCATTGATCTATATAACAAATTTCCCCTTAATGGGCATTTTGGTATGTACGATTTTTCATGATTACAAACAACACTGCAGTAAATCCTTTTGGCAAAATTTTTACATACACATGTGGCTATTTCTTTCAGAAATTCCATAAATGTTATTTGCAAAATGCCCTAGAGAAAATCTGGACCAATTTACACTACCCTTTGAAGTGTTACATCCCCAAACACTGACCCACATGGGTTTTGTACATTTTTAAAAAATTAATTACAAAGGCATAATTATTTTCACAATGGTATCTTGAGATTTAATTAATAGGAAAGAATAAGTATGTTTGCAAACTAACATTGCACAGTGAAACGTACCTGGTAGGCTCCAGGAGCCTATTTTCCTGAAATGATGGTAGGGTACTGATTATTTTCTGGGATAACTACTGTACAATCGTAGTTCTGCTTGAAAGCAGGACTGAATGAGTGCTCAAGGTCCCCAATTACCCTGCAGCCAATAAGGCAAATGTAGGCAAGTGGTTAGCTGCTTTGGTGCCCTGTTTTAATGGGAGTTACTTCTTCCTTAGTCTCTGTTCTTCCAGATCTCTCATGCTACTTTAATATTCCACTAATCAGAGTCTGTTGAGTTAGCTTTTAAAGGGTTTTGTTTTTGAGACAGGGTCTCACTCTGCTGCCCAGACTGGAGTGCAGTGGTGCAATTGTGGCTCACTGCAGCCTCAGACCTCTCAGGCTCAAGTGATCCTCCCATTTCAGCCTCTTGAGTAGGTGGGACCATAGGTATGCACCACACCTGGCTAATTAAAAAATTTTTTTTGTAGAGACAGAGGTCTCACTATGTTGCCAGGGCTGGTCTTGAACTCCTGAGGCTCAAGCAATCCTCCCACTTCGGCCTCCCAAAGTGCTGTGATTACAGGTTTGAGCCACCATGCCCAGCCTGAAAGGGTTAATTTAAAAAAATACCTTTGGGAGCACTTAAGGAGTCATCAGTCATTCACATCTTAGTATGAGTTCATCTGAATTGGATGAATTCATGTCATCATCCGGCAAAGAGCTACCGCACTGGGCAACGTGGGAAGGCCCTGGGAAAAATGAACATTCAATACAGACTACCCTCAGAATGATACCTGTGAGTGTGGGCGGGTAAACTGAAGAGGGGCAGGCACCTGGCAAAGACGGGGAGCAGGAAGAAGGCACCTGGGAAGAGTTAGGTACCAGAGAAGAGGGATGGAGAGTGCCATTGAAGAGCAACAGAGGCTAACACTGCTTCACTGACAATTTTGCCCAGTGGCTGGCCATAGTTCCAACCTTCTCCACTGCCAAATCTGTTGATTTGTGTACACATGGGCAGCTGATTTTAGTTTCACCTCTTTCTTACTTATTAGAAAAAAACGGTCAATTCAAAGGTAAGAGAAGAGCAGAGCAGAGAAGGAAGTTTTCTGGGAAACTCATAAAACTGGCCCGCCATCCCCGAGTAGACGGGTTTGATAGGCATGGACTCATAATCAAGAGCTGAAGCTTGATCAAAATGCACATGAGTCTGGGCGCAGTGACTCACATCTGTAATCCCAGCACTTTAGGAGGCTGAGGTGGGAGGATCGCTTGAGGCCAGGAGTTTGAGACCAGCCTGGCCAATATGGCAAAACCCTGTCTCTACTAAAAATACAAAAATTAGCCAGGCATGGTGGTGCACATCTGTGATCCCAGCTACTCGGGAGGCTGAAGCATGAGAATCACTTGAACCCAGGAGCTGAGATCATATCACTGCACTCCAGCCAGGGCGACAGAGCCAGACTCTGTTTCAAAAAAAAATGGAGAAGAGGGGTTGGACCAGCCCAGGGCTGGTCTCTATCATCGTGAAATGTGCAGGGCTCTCGGCAACTCCCGACAGGAAAGACGCAGTCTACTTTGATGAAGGGAGGGAATCTAGTAAATTAAAGCTAGAGATTTTTAAATTGTTCTTCGCTGTTTTTTTTTTTTTTTTTCTTTTGGCCTTTCTTTTTCCTTTAGGAACCCAGCTGCTTAGTGACTAACATTTATTCACTTTTTCTGTCTCTCATTATGATGCTCCACCTCATTCCTGGTCCAATCTAGCGGTATCTCCACAGGCCTTACACTTTCCTGAGGATCAGCTTATGTTTCTCCTGGGCCCGCTCCTAACTCACTTCACATTTGTTTCAACTAAGAAGGTGGTCGTCATGTCCAGTGAGTCATATATTTGAGCTCCATGCCACTCTTAGGAGACAAAACATTTCTATTGTTAAAAAGATTCATAAACAAAGAAAGGAAAAACATTTAAAATTTTCAGATTTTCCTTTGGAACCTACAAAGAGCCAATTATCAAGCATTATTCATTTATGGAAGTCTCAATTTCAGTCAATAAATAAAATTATGGTGCTGTGTCTATAAAATTTACTCAGTATGACTCCCTAGTGATTTTTTTTAAACAAAGTCCATGTATTCCAATTAGGATGAGCAGGAGTTTGGCTTAGAATGGAAGCCAAATGGAGCCAGACGAACTGGAAACTCAAGAAACTGGCCCCTTTGATGGAGTCTCTTTTCCCTACATCCCCTCCCAGGCACTTTTTTTTTCAGTTATTGCCACTACCTTCCAAACTCTAATCCCACATGGCCAAGTGTGGTTTGAGCACTGCCATATGAACATCTCACTGTCACTGCTTCTCCAACTCAGTATATCCAAGAACTCATCCCTCATCACCCCAGATCATTTCCACACTTGATCGGTTCCTGAACTCTATAGTATTGCCAGGAACACCAGCCAAACATTTAAGTTGAAAACTTCAGTACTGGTTTGCTGTTGCTGCTGTACCATTAACTTAGTGGCTTCAAACACAAAATTGTTATCGTAGACTTCTTCAGGCCAGACGTCCAGTAGGGGTCTCTCCAGACTAAAATCAATGCTGCTGATGATGCTAGGCCACATTCTTTTCTGGAAGCTCTAGGGAAGAATCCGTTTCCTGCTGATTCGGGATGAGCAGAATTCAAATCCTTGTGGTTATAGGACCGAGGTTCTCATTTTCTTGCTAGCAATAAATTGAGGGCCATTCCCTCAATTCCCAGAGTCTGGAAGCCCCCCACATTTCATGGCTCATGCCCCATTCCTCCATCTTCAAAGCCAGCCATGATGGGACAGGGCCAGGAGTCTTTCTCAGGTGGCATCACTCTGACTCCTCTTCACTTTTAAGAGCTGGTGTGATTCTGCTAGGACCACCCAAGTAATCCATGATAACCTCATGGTCTTTCATTTTAATCACACCTGCAAAGTCCCTTTTGCCATGTAAGGTAACACATTTACAGCGTCCAGGGATTTTAGGATATGGACATCTTTGGGGAGCCATTAGTCTTTCCACCATACTCAGAAACCCAGTTTCCTAAAATTATGGAAAATGAGTTGCCAGGAACCGCCCTTCAAGAGTGAAAATCCTACAGGGGTCAAGTGGAGAGCCCAGAAACAAAAAGTTACTTTTAACAATAGAGCCGAGTCTACAAACCAAGATGCTAACTCTCTAGGCATTGCTCCCGACTCCACACCTCCGCCTCCCACCTCCATATCCACTCATTGCATCCTGGACAGTCTTCTCATTGTAGCATGGGGCTGTTGCAAGGATTCTCAGAGAGAACGTATGTGGCATAACAGGAATAGCAAAAACTGATCCACGCTTCCTGTGATCCAGGCTTACCATGTGACGGACTTCAAATAACTTTATTATTTACCCAGCCAACAACTTTGCAAACGTGATGGACACTGAGGATCCTGAGACGGATTGATTATCCTGGATTACCTGTGTGGGCTCAATCTAGTCCAAGAGTTCTTAAAAGTGGAAGAGGAAGGCAGAAGTGTGGGTCAGAGTGATGTCACGGAAAGACTCCTCAACCCTGGAGAGGTAGGTGACATCAGTATCATTCCTTGTTAGTGGTTGAGAAACTGAGGCTGGGTAAGGTTTAGAAACTTGTTCAAGGCCTCACAGATCATTGCTTCTAGGCCCGAATTTGAATGAAGGCAGCTTGACTTCTGAACCTAACCTCTGAGGCTCTACGGTATCCCGAATCCAATGACAAACTCTGTAGACCACAAATGAATACAGAAATGTGGGGCATTATTATTATTCTGAGACAGAGTCTTGTTCTGTCGCCCAGGCTGGAGTGCAATGATGTGATCTCGGCTCACTGCAAGCTCTGCCTGCCGGGCTCAAGCAATTCTCCTGCCTCAGCCTCCCAAGCATCTGGGATTACAGGTACCTCCCACTACACCAGGCTAATTTTTGAATTAGTAGAGATGGGGTTTCACCATGTTGGTCAGGCTGGTCTCGAACTCCTGACTTCAAGTGAACCACCCACCTCTGCCTCCCAAAGTGCTGTGATTACAGGTGTGAGCCACTGCATCTGGCCTTAGGGTCTCATTAGTAGTCTTCCTTAATCTCTCATCTGTCCCTTTTCCCCATGCTCACTGCCCTCTTCCACACCCAGGCCATCGTTACCTTATACCTAGGTGAAAAATTAGAACCCTAGAACCTTCTCATTGGAAAGAATCCTAACATTCTTTGCATCCAGTTTCTTCCCCCATACAGTAATCAATCCACCAATTGTACACCCACAGTCTCAATTCAGCCTCCAAACAAGTTTTATCTTGTCTACACAGTGGGAATCATGCTGGAGTTTTTTGTTATTATTATTATTTACATTTTTGAGTGCTGATTTATTACTCAAATATTTGAAGTAGGAGACTGAAACAAAACATTTTTTATCTGTGTACTTTTAGAAAATTCGTCAGCAAGAAAGGAGCCAAGTGTCAGTTTCCAATGGGGGGCACGTTCTCATGGAGATACTATAAAGCTAAGTCTGTCCACTTCATTTCTTGTTCTTTGACAGATTCTGTCGTGCCACCATTGTCTTGTTCAGGTTCAGGAAGCTCATTCAGTGGTATTGCGACATCCTCATAAAGCAGCTTGTCTTCTCGCCAAGCATCATCAATCAAATCTAAGATCCTTCCATCTCTCTGAACCTCACTGTCCATTTTCCTGCAGCTTTGATCTTGTCAAATCGGTATCCGGCACACAGCGGCTGACACTTCCTCCAGCCACTCCCTCAGCATCACTAGTCCCCACGCTCTTCCCTCGGATTCCTGGATGTGGGTCTATCATTATTTTTTTTAGTGATGGGGTCTTGCTCTGTTGCCCACGCTGGAGTGCAGTGATGCAGTCATAGCTCACTGTAGCCTACCACTCATGGACTCAAGGGATCCTCCCACATCAGCTTCCTGAGTAGCTGGGAATATAGCTGCATAACACTACACCTGGCTATTTTTAAAAAAAAAATTTTCAGAGATGTTTCAAACTCCTGGGCTCAAGTGATCCTCCTGCCTTAGCCTCCTGAGTAGCTGGGACCAGAGAAGTGTGCCACCATGCCCAGCTCCAAGTTATTGAAAATTTGAATTACTCACCAACATTTAAAAATCAAGAAATTTCAAATAAAATTCCAAATTTTCACCTTGTTTTACAAAACTGTAAGTTTTGGGAGATGGCCCCTTTATGTTGGCTCCCTGGCCCTCTAAAGCATGCCCTGGTTAGAAAAGATGATGGAGCTGTCTCTCTCCTCTCTATATATTCAGGTACTCATTGACTACACCATTCCTTCACTTATGTGGACAGATGTCATGTAACTTTTCGACTGTGTGCCTTGTTTACCCACCTAGACACTAAGCTGTTTGATTATTTATTACCCTCCAGGAATCTAGTCCAGTGTCTTGTCTGTGGTTGATGTCCTAAAATACTTTTGCAATGACTAATGAAATCCTTAAGAAATCTCCATCATTCAGAGATTGGTTGGGGACCCGTGATGGGTAGTTCAAGAGCAGGAATGTAACACAGGGAAATGGTGCACAGGTGAAGAACTGGAACAATCCAGAGGTCAGCAACAGCAGGAAGACGCTGGAAGAACAAAGAAGGGAGGTGATGTTACCAGATCCCAGTGAACAAAGCCATGGGGCAGGAGTTCAGGCCACAGGATGTTGGAAGGGGTCTGTCCAGTGAGACTGGAATCATGGAAGAGGTACAGCCCTCATTAGATGCCAGCCAAACTGAGAGAGGGGGAGAAATCCCCTGAGTTCCCCTTTCCTCTTGCATTCTAATCTCCTGTCCCTGCCATCCACTGGCTGAACCTAGCTGGAAGCTAGTTGGTAAGGAGACATGAAAGATACTGCAAGTAGTCAGGTCCCTATGAAACAGAGTAAGGGAAGGATGGGGAATGGATCTGAAAATAACAAGGCAAAATGACTAATGCAGAGTCAATGAAGGAAAGACTTCTTGGATGAGTATGACTCAGATTCTAAACTTTGAGTAGTTATAGTGGGCGATCACAGCAGATAGATGCCTTAACAGGTCTTACAAATGTATGCTGAAATGCCCACCCAAATACGTATCAGAAATGGAACAAAAAAGTCAGCCATTGTGAGCCCCCATTGCCTACAGTGGTGACCTCAATAACATCCCTGGTACTGACCTTTCCTCTTTTCCTAATGCCTGCTCCTTCACTTCTCATTTCTGGGATCACCACCCAAATAAACCACCTGCACCAAAGTTATGCAAGGTCATGTCTGGGTGTTTCTGAAGTTTTCATTTTTCTCCCTGCTGTTTGACACTGTGGTAGATATTAAGACTTCAAATGTGAGATGGTTATCTTACAGCTATGATTGTGGTTATACTATGAGTATTTACTTCTAGCACATTCTTCCCCAAGTTGGATGGGAAAGATAAAGGCTTATTCTTTGGGAGTGGATCTAAAAAGATTACGACTAGCCCTCCTTGCATGAATATTTTCAACCCGACTGAAACTTGTAATCTGGTGGCAGTCCTCCTCTGGATTGAATTACTGCTCCATAGAGAGATAATTAAAAACAAGCCACCACGCCTAGGCACTCTTATATGGGAACCCCAAACAGAACAATATTTTTGTTGGTATTACACTGGCTCTTCAAGGCTTGGGATAACAGACTGTCTTCCAGGAACTGCATTTTCAGAGTTTACTACATAACCCCCAAAACTGAATGAAAACATTTCTAATTTGGCACATCCGAAACATGTTTACTCATGCTGTGACACTGCTCAATAAGTACTCTTACATAATGTATTTATTAAATGATTAATAATGACATCATTAAAGAAAACTTCAGCTCTTAGCTGATGGAACTTCCCAAAGTTCAAGCGATCAGCAGTTCTAGGTGGGCTCTGGCCAGAACGGGAAGAAGGTGAAATGTATTCTTGAGCCCCCAATTCTTGCTTTTCTCCTGCCTTTGCACAGTATTGCCCACCCATCCCCCTGGCTCTTAACCCCTCCAGAACTCATCCTGGTTCTCTTGGGGCGTTATGAACTGCCCCTTCCCCAAGGGTCCACGGGATGCATTTTAGAGTGTCCATAAATGCCCTGAAATAAAATGCAGTGTTCATATGCATTTTCTCCTGGGAAGAGTAGAGTCCCAAAAGGGAGTCTATTTTTAATTAACAAGCACTTACACACCATTACTATATGACCAGGCACCGCATAAATATGAGCTCATTTAGTCTTCATAACAACCCTATGAGGTATGTTATCCCCATTTTCCAGATAGGGAAATGGAGGAAAAGAGCAGTCAAGTAACTTGCCCAAGATGACATGTAAAAGGACAGAAATAGGACATGAGGCAGGCTCTCCAGCTCCACTACACTAGGCTGCTTCTCATCCTGGGGTGTGGGCTGAAGAGAAGGAAGAGTCAGTGACCTACTGGGTGTCCACTGAGCTCCACCGGGAGGGATGTGTACTTTAGGAAGAATGAGAGCCTTGAAATTAACTCTTTCTGACCAATAGAGCTTCTCATCCTGGGGTGTGGGCTGAAGAGAAGGAAGAGTCAGTGACCTACTGGGTGTCCACTGAGCTCCACCGGGAGGCATGTGTACTTTAGGAAGAATGAGAGCCTTGAAATTAACTCTTTCTGACCAATAGAGGATACTGGGGGATCATTCCCCTTTCCCAGTGCCCCTGAAACTAGACACATGGCTGGCAATCTAGGCTGCTGGTCCTGGCCAGTGCCAATAATGGATCATCTTGGCTGTGCTTTTCATTTGCGAATGCTCGCCATGATTTGCGTTCACTTCTGAAGTGATTGGTTTAACTTCTGAAGGCTGGTAGCTTCTAGAGCTATTTCAGTCTGATGACTGTAAATAATGTTTGGCACTTCAGGGGTGGGGAAGGCGGGAGGCAAACTTGCCTTTATTGGACACTGATGACACTGGCCTTATACCTGTGCTCCTCAATGGAATCTCCCCATCATTCCCATGAAACAGACAGCTCTCTACCCTAACCTCATCTTCTGCCCTCCCCTCACTCAGCCATCCTGGAGACTCCCTGCCGTTTCTCCAACACACCAAGCATATTCCCACCTCAGGGCCTTTGCCTTTGCTGTTCCACCTGCCTGGAACACTTTTCTCCCAGAGGGCCGTTTGGTTTGCTCCAACACCTCCTACTCATTTTACTCAAATGTTACCTTCTCCGAGAGGCTGTTCCAGACCAGTCTATTTCAAATTGGAACACCTTCTGCGTCTGCCTGATCCTTTTCATCTCTTTATGCACAGGATCCTTGCCATCGAGCAAGTTAACATGTTCATGTATGTGCGGACAGGCACAACCCTGGGAGTGCCTGTATCCTTAATATTTTTTTCCCTGGCCCCCTGACTTGCCTCACCCTAGTCCTGGCCCTGTGTAATACATAAGCTGTTTTTTTTCTTTTGCTACCAAATTCCAGTTTTTACCCCAATAGGATAATAGTGTCCCCATTGAGAATGCATGCCCTAGGCAAGCTTCTCCAACCTGCAGCCCACCGGCCACATGTGGTCCAACACAAAATCATCAACTTTCTTAAAACATAATGAGGCCGGGCGCGGTGGCTCACGCTTGTAATCCCAGCACTTTGGGAGGCCGAGGCGGGTGGATCACGAGGTCAAGAGATCAAGACCATCCTGGTCAACATGGTGAAACCCCGTCTCTACTAAAAATACAAAAAAAAAAAAAAATTAGCTGGGCATGGTGGTGCGTGCCTATAATCCCAGCTACTCAGGAGGCTGAGACAGGAGAATTGCCTGAACCCAAGAGGCGGAGGTTGCGGTGAGCCGAGATCGCGCCATTGCACTCCAGCCTGGGTAACATGAGTGAAACTCCGTCTCAAAAAAAAAAAAAAAAAAAAAAAAGAAAACATTCAAAAACATAATGAGATGTTTTTGGCCGGGTGCAGTGGCTCACACCTGTATTCCCAGCACTTTGAGACGCTGAGGCAGGCGGATCCCGAGGTCAAGAGATGGAGACCATCCTGGCCAACGTGGTGAAACCCGCCTCTACTAAAAATACAAAAATTAGCCAGGTGTGGTGGCACGTGCCTGTGGTCCCAGCTACTCGGGAGGCTGAGGTGGAAGAATCGCTTGAACTGAGGAGGCAGAGGTTGCGCCACTGCACTCCAGCCTGGCGACAGAGCAAGATTCCTCAAAAAAAAAAAAAAAAAAAAAAAATTAATGAGATTTTTTTTGCAATTTTTTTTTTTTAGTTCATCAGCTATCGTTAATGTTAGTGGATTTTATGTGTGGCCCAAGACAATTTTTCTTGTAATATGGCCCCAAAAGATTGGACATCCCTACTCTAGGGTTATCTCTGCTTCCTCCAGAAGAGATACAGTGTGAAGAAAGAAACCTTCTCCTCCCCGACCCCGCTAGTGTCTACAGTGATTCTGCTGCTGGCCAGCTGGCACGATCCTTCTCACCAAAGCATCTGTCATGTAGGGGTTAGCAGGAGTCCCTTATGGAAGTTTTAAGAGCAGAAGCGCCTGGAAAGGTGGCAGGGGGCAGGCACTAGTGGTTCGGGTGTGGAGAGCAGTTTTCCCTAAGCTCACAGCACTCTTCTCCAGTTCACCATTGAGCCGTGATCACTTGGCATCTTACTGTAGGTTCTCTGGGTCGCAGGGCCTAAGATCAAGACTGGCATGCAAGCAAATTATTTGGGAGTAATTCCAGGAGACAGGGGCGAGGGAGCAGGAAGAAAGAGACAGGGAAGAATGGAAGCCAAGTTTTGGGCCATTTGTTGTGGACAGGGGGAACTTAAATCCAAAGGGAC